CCGGAGTCCTTCTTATAGATCCCGTTTGTTATTATTTTATGTGAAGCCAAAGATCAGAAGTTATATTTCTGAAGGGTCGAGATGACAGATTTTCTGTCAGTTGACCTAAGTGTGGCCTTGAACATCCATTTATGTCACGCCGGCTGTCACGCCCGTGCGCCAAGCACAACATCTCTTCTAGTGACCATCATTGGAGCGTCCATTTATCATAACTACATAACTACAGGATTTTTTTCTAGACATGCCTTTCCCTTGCACTGCAGGTTTTTTTTGGGGGGGGGATTGTCACCCCACCTCCGGTTATTTCTGATGATTTGAGGCCTCTGTAATTGTGTGACAGCCTTTCCTGTATCAAGTAGCGCTGCGGGGTTAAGTTGTACAGGCCTCAAATGTCATGAATACTATGAATGCAACACCGCAAAACGCAGTTTTATTCATGTTTACCTTTTGATTCCTTTGGTTAGTATTCTTGTTTTTGGCTGTTAGGAAGCAGACGATCGCAGCTGCCGGCGATTGCGGCATTGCTTGCTTGTAAACAGTTCTATTAAATAAAATTGAAAGCTTTGCAAACAATGAAGTGTTGTGCATCAAAGCCATGTTATGCGGTTGTAAATTTCAGTTTCGTCATGTTTTGAGCCAACGTTTACTGCCTATGGGTTTTTTTCTGCGCAATTAACCCGGCAAAAAGTGTCGGACGATATAATTTTAACATGCATCTACACTATTTAGCCGTAAATTCGTGATTAACAATCCCGACTTTTCCCCAGTCTGAAATAATTTAGGCAAAGTCGAAGTGATCAGCGTTTTGGGCATCCCCCACCGGGGATGCCCAAAACGCTAGGGATATGGGAATGGGGATGCCCAAAACGCGGGGATACCCAAAACGCTGTGACACCGCCATATTGGGAAGCGAGAAGACCCTGGGGACGAGGTTGCACACACGACTGACTTTAGTGTCTCGGGGGAAGAAGGTCATTCAACAATTTTATTGACTCATTACAGTTTTTGGTTATAATTGAGGATAAAGTTATTTAGTAACGCTGGTTACGCTGCAAAATTGCACATACGTGCTTAGAAATCTTACTTTTGTTTACAATTTTATGTTTCGAGCAACTTTTGGGCAACTTTCGTTACAAAAAGCAACTTTTGATTGTTTTTTGAGCAACTTTTGAGCACATTTTTGAGTAATTACGGGAAACTTTTTGGAAAATCTCGAGCAACTTGTGCAGTCCTAAGTAGGGCTTCTGTCTAAGTTGGTGTCATCTTGTTTCACAGATACAGAACTATCACCTGGTATACATTTGAGGTAGCCTAGTTGAATTCCAGGGGGTGGGGTTGGTCTGGAGAGTAAGGTTTTACTGTTTTTTTTTCTTTATGCAATTAAACAATGGCATTGCAAAATGGGGTAAGTTGAGTTGGAACTGCTTTGCAATCTGTGACGTTAACAATACAACTGACCATGAAAATGTCTTTTTTTTCCAGCCTAATAAAGAAACTTTCACTTTTGACAAGTGTAAGATAGCTGTTTATGTCAACTGCAGACTACTTCACGTAAGAATTTTTTTCCCTGGTGAGGTTTTGCTGTTCCAGTAAAGAAGGCCATTAATAACAATTCTTTATTGAAACAAACTCAATATATTAATCATGTCTACAATAACAGCGTAACAGTCCCATTTTGGAAATGAATTCTGAGCATAAAAGCAATTTAAAGTGATACACTGTGACAAAAAATTAAAATGACCTCAAGCTTGTATAGCTGAAAACAAAATCGTATGTTGTAAATTAAACGAAAATGCAAGCATGCATTTATGCAAAAAATGTAGAGAAAAATGAATAGTTCGAGCGGATGGCTCCTTCTACATTTTCAATGTCAATGTCAGCGTTCTTAACTTCACGTAGAAATCTTTTTATTGCCCAGGAGCATCTAAGACAAATGATTGCAGATTTTAATAACGTGAATGAAATTCTGATCCATGACTTGATTTCGGCATATTGCTCCCCTTTCTTGATGGCAATTAGCTGTGATAATCGACTACGGTACCTCTTGTTTCCCATTCCGCCAGTTGTGGCGAATTGAAGAAAAGGGTGAAAATGTTCCATTTTCAATGTCAAGAACGTTCCTTAAGTAGAGACGCTTTTCCTCGTTCTTATGCATACGATTGATCGCTTGTAGCTCTCGGTCCTTACACTAGTGAGCAACTGGGTGGAAGACCTTGACGTACCCACGTACATGGATAGCCGACCTCGCTACTTAAATGTCGTACAGAGATGTCATGGAGGACTGGCTCAGTCCCAATTTTTGTTTCGATTTTAAGCCCAAATCTTGGAGAGGAGGCACTGTAAGCCACGCCGATGATTCTTTTTTTTGCCGCCAGATCTAATGCTCGCTGAGTCTTTTGGGGTTCCATCTATACGCTCTGCCCTGTCTTTAACTTCCTTTAACTTTTCACTTCTTTCTGTTGTGATGATTTGACGAGGGAATATTCGGATGCCTGATGTGACTGAGATACGATTTGTTCAACGAGGGGCGTTGTTACTTTGATTGACAAAGCGTACTCGCGGCTTGCTTCAAGGCATCGGTTTTAAAGACCCAGACCACTCAGGCAGCGCTAGAATGTTCCTATTTAGCTGATCACCCTTGCGCCTAGCAATCACAGGAATGAGCATTCTCTGGTGGCTCTAATAGATCCTGGATATCCGACAGAGTTCTTAAGAAGTACGTACGACCGATGTTTCAAGCCAAAGGTATAAGCTGCATATCTCGCTTTTGGTTAAGACAGAGCAAATTCCACTGACTAGTCAACCTAATTGACCCAATTGGTCGCCTTTCCGCCGGCTGACATATTCCTTGAAGTACTCTCGGGAGAAATATCTTTCCGTAGTTAATAAATGTCGAAAGTTGAACCTTGTGTGAAATGGTGTTCAGCCAGCAACTTGTTTCGTTCTTGCATTTCGGTGAAACCTTAATATCTAAACAGCCATTACCAACTATTCTGCCAGGCAAGCAACAAAATACTGCCACATGTATTTAGCTGAGTATCAAAAATCAAATTGTCGTGTATGATCATAGTTAGTAAACTAACTATGGCATGCAACTTATATCTAAACAGCCATTACTAACTATTCTGCCAGGCAAGCAACAAAAACTGCCACATGTATTTAGCTGAGTATCAAAAATGAAATATGTCGTGTATGATCATAGTTAGTAGACTAACTGTGGTATGATCGACTGTGCAATACCTCGTCTTTGATTTTTAGTTCCTTCTTTTTGCAGTTGATTGTTTGCAAAATTTTACAAAATGTTTTGATGTCTTCTATCTTAATTTTTATTAAAATTTTATTCGGCTATTTAAAAAACAACATGACGAAGTTCTTTATTCATCCGTTTTATTATAAATACTGCTTTCTACAGGAGGTGATATGAAAGCATAAAAGCGACAATGCCGAAACGATGTCTGGGATATAACATCGACAAATCATTTTAAAAATCCGTAAAGGCCTAGCGCAATGGAATTCGGAGTAGGTTAAGGCAGCTTGCGTTAACGTAGCTTTTTCTGTGCTTAAAAAAATCTGTAAATGTTAATTCTTAAACAACAAGAGAAATAAGCTTTTCCGTTCAGCTAAAGCAGTGGGCTGGACAATAACATTGCGCTGTTACTTGCGTTGTTTGTAAATGTTGTGGTTATGCAAATAAGTAAGTGAGCTGCTGATGTGGAGCTCAAATAAAAGACACTGGAGCAGTTGGATTTATACCTGGTTTCCTCATCAGTGGGATTTTTTTCATTGCGCTAAAGGGCTGTTCAGTCAAATAGAGACAAAGTGACCACCACCCAGTAATAGACCTCTTTAGCTCGTATGTTTTTATTGTCATGTTACGGAGCAGCCTCGTTCCCAGGGTTGTGTCTGTATAGCACGATGCTCAATTTTGCCAGGGCTAGGATCCATTGTTTGATTTGTTTATTTATTGTGGTTGCAGCATGGTTTCAGCCCATCTTGTAAGGTGCCGAGTCCTAAGAGCTTCGTGGGGTCTCTTTTTGTTTTCCCGTAGCAAGTTTTGTAATTAATGTTCTGAAGCATTTGATCTTTGTCTTGTCATAAATTATGTTTTCATATGCACATGGCAAGAAACTTTGCTTAAGAGTAATTTCGCATGGTCTGGACGGGGGAAACAAATCATACGAACTAAAAAAGTCTGTAATTAGTCCAATTGTTTTAAGAAAATGCCCAGTTGTAAAGTCATACGTAGCAAAAGAGTCGGCAGTGAAAATTGTGGAATGCAACAATGTGCGTATTTCGGTAAATTTTATCTTTTTAATTATTAAAGTGCTGAAATGAAAAAACTCTGGCCATTCTCCAATAAGTAGGATGCACGGAACAACAGCTTCGCTTCAGTTAAATACTTGAAACCAGAATACTACTGAAGTATAAAGAAGAAACAATGATTACTGAATTTTAATAAAATCATCCTCTTCTCTTCTCAGAGGCCGGGTAAAACAATTTCCTCAAATTAAAACAATTTTCTTTGTTTGCAACATGAATATATACACATATTTGGTGTTACTGGTAAATAAAAAAGGAAAGAGAACAGATAGTCATCAGTAATCCAATAAGCGGCGAGCAAAAATTATAAATTAGGCAATTTAATATTCATTTCATTTTACGCAGAATCCGTAATATCTAAAACTTTAAAATAACAAACAGAAGAAGAAGAAGAAGAAGAAGAAACGAGGAAGACGACGAAAACAATGGCCATCCTCCAATAGGCGGGGTGCGCACTGCTAAGGCTACTGAATATCTGCTGCCAAAATTATATTTATATGGCAATTTAAGTTTTCACTTTCTTTAATCAGACGCAGTGACCTCTATAAATACTTGCCACACATTGTACCTCAGTCATCATGCAATCAGTCCCATAGTCCCGAACCTCTGATCTACTCAGTTGTAAACGGCTTTCATTCTACTTGAGCTTTACGGGCGCTGTTTACACCTTTAACCTTAAGATGTCCACGAAACTTGTCCTCGTTTTTGTAGCCTTGTTTGCCATTCAAAGTACTTATTCAGGTAAGAATAAAAAATCCGCTTTAGCAGCTCTGCTTTTGGGTCAGTCGGCTGTGTACAAGCCCAGTCAATTTTTGGCTTACAGTTAAGAGGTTTGTTATTTACCCATGCTGACCAAGCGCCTCGCTTGCTTAGTTCCTCGTTGTGCTAATTTTAGGCAATATTTTACGGCATTCGAAGGCGAATTTGTTCAGTTCACGTAAGGATAAGCCATTTAACCCTTTTTTGCACGGATGTCAGTAATTCTGTGCTGTTAAGTAAACTCTTATCGGACACTGATTATGGAAGTGACACACGAATGTCATGGTAAGAACCCTGCCTTTTTTTTCTTTGCTCAGAGAGATTTGTTAGATTCAGCAGTTTCATCTTTTCGATCAGCGGTTCATTAGTTAATTCATGTGGATGGCTTGCTGTATGATCGTTATTTCATGCGGATATATACCGTATTTATTCGAATAAGCGCCCAACCTCGAATTAGCGCCCACCTCGAATAAGCGCCCATCCCAAAGGCAGAAAAAGTTAATAAGCGCCCACCCTCGAATAAGCGCCCACCCCCTACTCCTCCCAATCAAACTCAAATAAGCGCTCACCCCACCCCACCCACTTGAGTGAGTAAATTCTAATAAGAGACATCCCCGAGGACGGAGTCTTCTTCAGAGTATTTTACAGAAACCTTGCTTTGTTACTTCTTCGCGTTTTGTTATTAGCATTTATTGTTTTGTTATAAAATAAACATGCTTCACTTACTGAAAATGGTGAAAATTTAATAAGCGCCCAGCCTCGAATAAGCGCCCACCTCGAATAAGCGCCCACTCTCAAGGTCCAAAAATTTAATAAGCGCCCAGGGCGGTTAATCGAATAAATACGGTAATTATAACTTTTCGAATCTTTATGACACCAAAAAATTCCGCGAAGGCAAGTATTTTCACTTATTTTAACCTTATAAACATTTTTTGCAAATAGTACTATGAAATCCTCAATTGCCATAAATCGAACCTGCTTGAACTGGTGTTCAGCCAGCAAATCGTTTCGGTCTTGCACTTCGCTACTGAAGCTTAAGAAATGCAAAGCTTTTTGCGGAACAAGCAAAGAACAGGCAAGCATGTGTTTCAGTGTATTTGGCCGGATATAAAAAATGAAATCTTTCTTGCATGACTAACCTGAGACCAGGCCCAATTTTAGCACTTCTCATACATTTTCTCTCTAAAATTGGGCCTGATCCAAAGTCTCACAGGCTTGTGCGCAGTGCGGCCAGATTTTGGCCGCAACGCTGATTGGCTGTTAGAATCGACGAAGTTGAAAGCGCTTATTCCTCCCGTGGCTGATAGTACTAAAAATCTTCGTGAATGATCCGCCGTCAGCGGGGAGAAGGTTTTGCTGTATTTTTTCTTTACTGTTTTACGGTCTTGTGGCAGGAAAATATGCTCTAATATGTGTCATGGAAATTCAGAAAATTCAAATGGTTGTCCATATCTTCTCAGGATTTGCTTCATTTACGGAACTAATGTGAATGTTGCGCGGAAATCATATCCTGGCCCTTCCCACCCCAAAAACAACAACTTACGGTCTGCACTCTTTTTCATACTTAGCTAGCAAAGTACGGAACTCTCTCCCAGACACTTACAAAACATTAAATTTTCTAGAATTCAAGCAGGAGATCCTCAGATATGAAGCTTTCCACAGTAGATTTACAAGTTATATTTCCCTCTGCATGCATAACGTTGTATATAGCTTATAAATAATATTGGAATTGTAATATAGCATATTATATTTTATTTTAACTTATTTTCTCGAATATATTAGCTCTACAGCTACTCTGTCGGTTAAGCATGCCGTTTTCGTAGTGTCGTTTCGTCTTTCCAAAGAGCCAGGTAATATTTACCTAGATTTATAAAAAAATATATTTTTTTAGACGGTTGTTTCTGGTATTTTAAAATTCGCAATTGCAAAGTGTACTCATTGGACTAAATTAAATGCACTTGAGAACTCATTTGGTTTGTTCTGAGATAATTTATTTTTCCTTTGAAAAAGGTCGCGGTATATTTCTCCAAGAGTTTTAAAAGTTTATGCACTGAAAATCGAGGAAAATTGCCGAGGAAAATATAAAGGCAGCAGAAACATAGAAATTTCACTATTTTAAAAATCGATCGCGCCTAGCCAAAATGTTAAAACTGGAACATCGTGTCGCCGTCTTTTTGAAAACGTTTTACGGCAACAGAAGTAACCTCTAAGATCTTTAATCTCGTAAGAAATTAAATGTGATTGTGGTGACTGTTTTATCGTTAGTTGAAAAAAAGATAAGAGCTATTTTTTAAATCAGCGAGTCTACATTTTTCCCACGTATGAAAAATTTGCATACTGAAAAAAGTATGCAACGGAAGTACTTTTGGTTGGCTGATTCGACATAAGTCAATCAATCAAGAAAGTGGGCGGCAGACGTTTCGTAGAAGGTTTGTATCAGGTTCTCTTTTCGTTTCGCCTTGCCCGCCGGAATGTTATTTTCAAAGCGAAACGAAAATAGAACCTGATCTCAGGTTATGCATGACCGACTCGGTAACCCGTTATTACATTTGGCAATTTTATACCAGCCTTCTGATATTTAGTACCAGCTTAGTAATTGCGCCGTTAAAATTTAAAACCCGAAGCTCAGTGATATTACAATTAGGGAGTTTAAGGCTTGGGGCAAACGTCGAATCTTAGTCGAATTCTTTGAACCCCATTAATTTTGAAATAGGCGCATGAATGGTGCGACTCTAGCACAAGTTCCGCTTGCCAAGTCGGATAATGCGACGGTAACACGCGCTTAACTCCCTGCCTGATCAATTCATGAAGCATGTAAATAATTGATTCACATGTGATGGACTGCGCAAACGTCACAAGAATATCAAGAACATCTGCCAAACGCTATCCCCCCCGATGAACATGCGCTGTATAAACTAAGACAATTTCGCGACCGGTGATGGCAAGCTATCAAAAGTCGTGGCTGACATGGCACAGCGCGATGGAAATGTTTTTTTTTCGTGTTTCATGATACAAATGATAAATATAAATGCTTGAGATGCGAATTGCCTATTCGCAATAAATGCTCAGTGTTTGAAGACACCTCGAGCTGTCGTCTCTGATACACTGTTCTCAGAGCTGTATGTAACGCGAGTCTTCTCTTTCTGTTTTTCGCAATTAATTGCCAAAGAAATGCCCAACGAGCACTGTGTTTCGGCATTTCGCTAGCAAGTCCTAGTTGTAACTAGCCGCGCATCAAGTCAATAGCAAGGGGACACGTGCTTATTCCCGTGTTTTAATGAAATAGGATCGACGCAGGTTCGACGTTTGTTACCACGCTAGAATTAAGTCGACTCTTTGTCGAACCTATTTTTAATTTATTCGACGCGACTAAGATTCGACGTTTACCCCAGGCCTAAATCGCGTCGAATAAATTAAAAATAATTATGTTCGTCAAGGGGTCGACTTAATTCCAGCGTGGTAACAAACGTCGAACCTGCGTCAAACCCTTTTCACAAGTTGCACTTCATTAAAACACGGGAATAAGCACGTGTTCCCGTGCTATTAACTCGATCGAACTCGATGCGCGGCTTGTTACTGCTGGGACTTGCTAGCAAAAAGCCGAAATATAGTGCTCGTCGGTCTTTCTTTGGAAATTAATTAAGAAAAATAGAAAGAGAAGACTTGTATTACATAGAGCTCGAGAACAGGGTATCAGAGACGACAGCTATCGCTCCAAGTGGCATGCTTGATCGTGCTTTCGTTAGCGAACAACAATGGGGCAGCGGTCTTGAGTCGGTCTTGCTGTCGCTTCCAACGCGATATTGGTTGGTTTACCAACGCAGGCGCGTAGCTGGAATTTGAGAAGGGGTGTTCGTGCTGATACGAATATTCCTTAATAGTGGGAAATACTGCGAGCGCCAAAGGCGCGAACCTCTAGGGGTTTCTTGGGGCAAATTGCTCCCCCAGAAAAGATTAAAAACTAGAAACCTGGAAATGCTATTTTCAGTAGTCTCCACATGAATATTTCAAACTCGATCAAGTCTGAAATAACAGGTATTTTTAGTCATAACAACAATATTTCCGTTTGACTTGGAACATTCATACATAGTGATACATACCAGCTAGGTACCCGTAAAATGATCGATGTTTAATACAACACAACAGTACACACGCCTAAACGCACGCCTTTGTAATCTAACATTACGAATTTTAGCCTAAAAGTTATAAAAGTTGCCTACTTAGTCAATTACCTTTGGGAAGGTGCTCAAACTCCTAACAATTTTTATTTGTGCCCATATAAGACTTTCCAGATACTGTTAGCGTTTTCTTTCAGGGGTATTTTAAACACTGATTTGGCATCACGTCTTGGCAGTCGTTCAGACCAAGGTGCACATAACAAGGTTATTTTGCACGTTTTTAATCTGATAACTAAAAAGTGAAAATATGCACGGCGAGAAACATGTGTCTCTGGGGGACGGTAGGTTTGACCTACTCCGCACAGTCTTAAGCAGAGATAGAGAGTTATCTTAGGTTTAAACACTTAATTCGTCTCATCTCACTGTTCCACTCTGTTTTTATCTGCTCAATTATTTAATTTCTAAGGCCAACTAAAAACCCGTGAACATGACTCGTATGTGCACGTGACAATGATTTTGAAAACATTTTAAAATGACATTGTAGAAAACCTTTTTTGCAGTTGTTGTGTTAGAATTTGACGACAGTTGTTACGTAGATGCGAAACAATATAGCTTAGCCTGGTTTTCAACTCGTAATTCCACACTAAATATATGCTTCGTTAACCAATCAGAATTACTCAATTATACCATTCTACATGAAATACAGGCTTGGACGGATCATTAGAAAAGTTATGGAGGGGGTGAGGAATTTTCGGGCCGCATGAATGTTTTTCGTTGAAATTCCCCTTGCATAATTTCTTTGAGCTAGTGCGGGAATGTTTTTTAGGGGTACTCGGCGCGTATAAAAGATTTTCTCTTGCGCGATGATATATTGTTTTTTACTTTGGTCCCTAACCTCTGTTTCCTGCATGGGTCGTAATTGGTGCGCAAGATTTCTGTTGTGTCAAAGGGCAAAAAGCCTTCCATTTTTGAATTTATTCCACTGTGTGCAAACGATATAAATTCTAATGATAATACCAGACAGCATCAGTTACTGACCTCAATTTCCAATGTTTTTATACACTTTTCTGCAGCACCAATCAGCCAAGGCAGTATCAGCTTTAAATGGTGTGTAACGCTGGCCGCAGAGATGACCAAATGTCAGAGTTTCATCCATCATGTGACCAAAACAGCATTAGGTTTGCAATTAAAAGTGACTGTCGGTTGTGTCAATGGAAGTTCATATGAAGATTGCATGGCTAAAATAAAAGCTAGAGAGGCTGACCTAGTCACACTGGATGCTGAGCACTTGTATGCAGCAGGTACGTTGATTCATACTATGTAAATTTGTAGTTATTTCGATTAGCTGTACGGTATTGCTTCTAATAATATCCTAATGAGAACAAATGAAAAAAAAATTCACGATTCAGCTAATTCTAACGTTAACTGATGGCAACCCTTGATATACTGGAACAGGGAAGGTTTTTCATTTTTTCTTATCCCATTCCTCATTCACTCTATTTATTATTTTTATTGTGATTTCTTTGTCCGTAGACCGGTTTATTTTCTAATATATACCAGGTGACCTCCCGTTGCCTTAGGTATCCATCACCTTTCTTATAATTCTTGTTGTTCCCATTAAACAATTGCAAGCTTTCGCTCTACTGCAAACTCCCGTCAAGTCCTACTTTCTTTAGATACAGAAAAACCTTTTGTTGGCATTCAGAGGGCGCTAGTGACGATGGGTACCAGCTCGACTTTTTTTTAAAGTTCCACAGACCGGTTTGTCTCCTTTTTCTATTTGTTAGTACTTTGTCCGTTTCTTCTTGTTCTTCGATCTTCTATCTTCCATGGTCAAATGAGCATGCTATAATTCTATTAATGTACATCTCTTTTCCTTCTTGTTTTCATCTACGGTTTCTGGTCTGCTGTATTCTATTTTAATTTTATGGTCAGTTTGATTAGGAAAACCCCATAGCAACTAGATTTAGTCAACAAATAGAAAGAAGAAGCGTATTCACTTGAGTGGAAATTGTCATCGTTTGTTTCCTTCGCCCACAGTAGGTAAAGACCACAAACTCGTCCCCATTGTTTCTGAGCAACATGAAGAAAAGAACTACTTAGTTGCTATCGTGAAAAGGAACAATAAAGGATTCAACCTAAACAGTCTCCGTGGGAAAAAGTCCTGTCATGCCACAGCTCGGGAAATATTAGGATGGAACATTCCCATAGGGTATCTGAAGCGCCGAGACATACCTGCTCTGAGGTGTAAGACAGGTTTCCAAGACTTCGATTATGCAGCTTCTTTTTACAGTCAGAGCTGTGTCCCAGGTGAGATCCTCTTTAATATGGACTACTAATCGTAAACTAGACGAACCTTTGCCAGTGGATCCCGGGTTGACTACCATACAAACGAGAAGGGGATGACAGGCGTCTCGCTTGGGGGGAGAGTAAATTACAGATTTTGGTCTCACTTAGTGTTGTCAGGGGGTTAAATGCGAATATCGCGTACAAAATGTACACTTATAACTGTGTGTAATGGGTATGAGAGACTCACAGTTTTGAAAATGTTTTCGCGATTATTCTGCTTTGAGCAAGTGAAGGCTTTGAAAAAATTCTCGGAGAAACCGTATGCAAGTAGGGTAAAGAAGAAATTAAAGAAGCCGCCGGAGACGGACGAAAAGTAGCATTTGGAACTTAAAAAATAACTAATAACCTGGCACAAATCCTCGAACAGTCAAGCGGTTCGAAGGCAAGTATGTCATCTTTTCTTCTCTCTTCTGCTATTCATCGTAGAAAACGAATAGATTCCATATTTTCGCGGGTCCTTTCAGTAATAGGTCAACGAAGACGTCAAAATGTGATAAATGTGGTAAAAACATCAGTGACACACTAGCCTGTGGCTCAGCTCGTTGACGTCATCTGTCATGATCATTAGAGAGATTAGTTAAGGATCGCGTTTACAGCAAACGGCAATCTACATTGGTCACGTGGTACAAATTCACGTTTGCCGTTTGCCTTAAACGCGATGCTTAATCTATCTATTAACTAAATAGATGAACGGCAACATGCAAGATATTTTTATTAAATGGAGTTTTCATACGTTAAATGAATGAATGAATGAATGAAACACTTCTATTTCAAATGGTATTTTCGATCAGTTAAAAACTCAGTTCTTTACATTTACGTATTCAAATACTCTATATGTAAAGGTCTATAAGAGAGAAAAATAAACGAAATGTGTTTGTAATTACCAATCATTTTTGTCCACTTTAATTTTGAATTCTTGCATTGAAACGATCCTAAAATATACACTCGATTTACTTTGAGCCCCCAACGAAGGTTTTTTTAAATTTTAATTTTTAAATCTCGGTTGGCTATTGTTTTGTAAAGGAATACCTTTTTGTTCTTTTAGGGGTGAAATCATACATCCCATCGGGCAAAGTTTCCGACAAGCTTTGCGCACTCTGCAATGGCACAGGAGCTGACAAGTGCTCAGAAGACGCCAATAAAAACAGGTACGCTGGCTACCGTGGGGCATTTATATTATGTGCATGGCAGAAGGCAAGGGCGACGTAGCGTTTGCTGTACACACAACTGTCTTTGACGTGGTCGTTAATGGACAACATGGTGGGGTGACGGACTATCAATACCTATGCAAAGACGGAAAAAGACGAGGTAGATATTGTGTGAAATATTAGCACCTTCCCAGTAAAAAATACAAGCCAGCAAAAGCCAATGACTCAAAAACCGTTCTAAGCTTTTATGACGGTCAAAAGAATTGTTATTAGTATCATTGTTATTATTCTATTACAGAAAAAGTGTAAATCGACTGATATACTAAAACGTAGAAGATTCCTTAATTTCAGGTGTCGGCTAACGAGAGCTTAAAAACAAAGCTAAAATCTATTTTTTTAAGCCCTGAAAGTGTCTTCGGCCGCCCAAGGGAATTCTCTGCTTACGGGATTTGAAAAATACAGAGTTTGTATGTGCGTTTAACGGGGTTTTGTTATGGTGGCCGTAAGTAGAGCTGTCCGCCTTTAAAAGAGTATCCAGTGTATGTTGATTTAAACATGTTGGACTAGCTGTCCCCCCCCCCCCCGCGCGCTCCCTTATGTTCAACTCAAGGGTGTCCAGAGAAAAGACTACACTGCACCTTTATGGTCATTTTCCACCTACCGGTATTTATATTTCATGTTGTAATTGTAATTATTATTCATTCAAAATATTTCTCCGTTTCTGATTGGCTAAAAGCAAACGCACAATTAATCATAAACAGCTACTTTTGACCAAATTTGGAAGAACTTTGTCATATTGAACCGATGACGTCAAAAGTGCAGCTAAAGTGATTGAACTGTTAACCGAGAATATTTGGAGACGAGGTTCCGTTGTTTTGGTAGTGAGAACAAAATGGCTGAACAGTCGGCGAAACATTTTACTCGTTTGACGGCGAAATATTGTCTAAAATCATAGCAAGAATAGCAAGAAGGCAACTTGACGGACGAAATGTGCTATTTGGAGTATAAATTGTAGACCTGAACAGACCTGTATCTCCTAATTTCTCGATAAAGATGCACTGTCGATATAGGCGAATCTTTGGTTACCCTTTCTGCCTCATTAACATATGCTCATCATTATCTGATGAAGCGAATAAAATAAAACACCTGAATATTGAAAGAGCATAGCAATTTCAGTTATCTCTGAAAATTGAGCCCGATATACCAAATGCTTTCGGAGAAATTCTCTTCTAAAAACTCGAAATTTTACAAAGAATGTATGGCTCATTAACTTTTTTGCCACCCAGCAATTTCGCAGTTTTAGATGGCTCATATTTCCTTCAATATTGCTTTTAATAAGCTGAAAATTGCACAAATTGTTTACGTTAATCAGCTCTTTCAATTTTTGAATTTAGTTCGTATATACGGCCACGGATTCTTTGAGTTAAGTCGTATGCTAATGAGGAAAAATGTAAACAATGACGTCAGCAAAGATTCGCCCATAAACTTTTGGGTGAAAAACGGTCGCTCGCATCAAACAGTGCCCATTAGGTCTGAAATCCAGTCAGAACGCAAAGAAAAACAAGAAGACGCTAAAGGTAAGCTTCAAAGCGATATTCAACGCACATTTTGCTAATTTAGTGAGCAAAGAATATTTCTCATACAACGTCTTATGATTTTCTTGCTGTGAATAAATCGATGGAAAAAAACGAGGATCCGTAATTTACAGTACGGACCGAAAAAACGAGGTTAACAAGATGTTTATTATATTGCTTCTTCCTGTTTGGGGGACCGGAAACAAGTGCAGGCCGCACGATTTGACAGTCATTTGCATAGGCGTACGGGAAATTTTTTGCCGGGGGGCGGGGGCGGTAAACCATTTGCCCAAAAAATTCTCGCAAGTGTCCCAAATTTTTACAAAAGAGTCGAAAAGAAACGAGGGCCATATTGCACCAACATAGGCCGTACTGGCGTATGAAGGTGGCTCGATACAGTTTTTCAGGGTCAATACCAGGTTTGAGCATGAACTACGTCGCCATAAACAAACATTAGGAAAAATTGCCCCCATAGTAAATGAAAATTTGTCATGATCAGGGTTGCAATGACATCAGAGTTGTCATAGCATCGAAATCACGTCACTACTTATTTTACTTCAGCAAATTTAAAAATTCTCGACACTGGCAATCTTACAAAATCGTTCACAGGAGCTTTTTTCGCCAATACGGTCTTCTCGATGTTGGCAAAGTTTAAGCAAAATCTGTAAGAGCTTTATCGAGATAGTTTGGGATGAAGTTTTTACCGTTAGAAATACGGTAAGAAAAGGAAAATCGTGAGATTGGCCGTTATCTGTAGAAAACGAAGCGCTTTTGACATGCAATTTCACCTCATAGTAGTTTTAATCTTTTTAAAAACGTGTGTAAAAGATCGTGGAGATAGCTCTGCCCGATTGCTAGAAAGAAGGATTTGATTAGTATGTATCGCGGCGCTCTTGTTAGCGGTTTTGTAAACATTTCGATCTACTTTAACAAATTAGCGAATAATTTTAAACCACTCGATAGATTTTTTAAAAGAATTAAGATTCTTCTCGTAATTCAAACTAAGATCAGCCACTCCTTCGTTTTCAGACCCACCCTATTCTTCGAGTGGAGATGATTCTAGAAAGTTATGCGAAAGTTTATTCTAATCAATTCACCACTGGATAGCCCATTCCAGCTAGCGCAGTGCAGTACGGTGCCCAACAATAACAAAAAAATAAATATGTAAATTACTCATCACCTGTTAGGCGATTACTGTCTCGTGTGAGTGTAACTGGATTATTACGCCGACTTCAGGTTAATATTCAGGTCTTCAAAATAATTCAATAAACATGGAGACGTCTTTAAAAACAGGCTTTGCCCAAATTTTCTCTTGCTGCCCAAAAAATCTGAGCTGCCCAAAATTTGGGGGGGGGGCTGCAGCCCCCCTCGCCCCCCCCGGCCCGTACGCCTGTGGTAATTTGACAGGCGTCAAAAAAGAAAATTTTTGGTGGCGCACGAAAACAATAGAACAGAACAAAGGGTTTCCGAGAAAGTAAAAACAAATTCGCCATGTTGAAAAGTTTATTCGGTCAAAACTAAGAGCACTGTAAGTTTTAGCTCTTTAAATTAAGGCTGGAGTATTTACGAAACCGGACACTTCTGTCTAGAAGTCGTTTCCATCTTTCCTCCGTTTGTCTTTGTTAAAAAAAAACACTGCAAAAGGCAAAGAAGCTTTTCAAAGTAAGTTTGTTGTCATTGTCGAAGGACTCGCTCGTTAATTGTTTTTGGGAAAACCTCTCTTTCTGCCAGTTCATTCTCGTCTGCAACTGTGATCTGCGTAAAAAATTTTCAATCACTGATTAGAATTCTCTTCCTCGCTAAGGTTACGGCTTCTTTCTCATTAAAGGCAAAGGCAAAGGCACAGGCAAAGGCAAAGTCAACATTCCAGTCCTCAGGGTTTACAGACATAGTAAAGTTTATTCGGTCAAAACTAAGAGCACTGTAAGTATTCACTCGTTAAGGTGACGCTGGAGTCTTTTGAAAACTGGACATTGTGTCAGGCTCGAACTCGCTTCTATCTTTCTTTCGTTGGTCTTTGAAAAAACACTGCAAATGGCAAAGAAGCTTGTCAAGATGATCGGGTGCAGGTATGTTTGTTATCATATTTGTCGAAGAAATTACTCATTTTCTCTTAGGCAAAACATCTCGAATCTCTGCCAGTCTATTTTCATCTTCTTAACTGTGTACTACGATAAAATTTTCAAACACTGACTAGAACCCTCTTCGATAAGATTAGGAGTTAGTTTCTTCACCGCCTTCGTTCACAAATAAACCGTAGTTACTAAAACAAGGAATGACCTACAATGACCTACAATGACCTACAATGATCTACAATGACCTAAAATGACCTACAATGAGCTACTATGACCGAACGTGTAATCCCTGTAATGAACTAAAATGAAGATTTTAGAAAAAGGCCAAAAAAAAAGATCAGGGGACGTGTGTCGTAGTTACTAAAACAAGGAATAACCTACAATGACCTACAATGGCCTACAATGACCTACAATGATCTACGATGAGCCACTACGAGCTACAATGAGCTGTTACGAGCTAAAATGAGTTAAAATAAGCCCTACAATGAGCTACAAAATGACAGACAATGATGTTTGTCGTGTGTCACGGTTGGACGTGACACTAGGCTCATGGTATTAAATTGCCAAGCACATTTTGAAAACGCAAAACAAAAATTGTACCTGATCTCAGGTAACTTGAGAAACTTGAAAATAGATTATTAAAATCGCGTTTTTACCGGTATAGCACTATTATACCCTGTATTGACGGAAGTCATGCAGGCACTTCCTCATTTGGCCTAGATGGGTATGGGCCGCTGAGCAGGATATGGATTTTACTATTTAGCGTTACAAACAGAGCATCCCGTTGGACCGGAAGCCATTTAAAGGGTCTTATGATGTCTTATACAGACCAGGGTACTTAAAAAAAATGAACATTTTTCTTTTGAACAGGATCAGAATTTGAAGGCCTCCTTTGTTCACCTCTACCCTTACGTCCCTTGAAGATCCCCCCAGATCGACTGTTGGGGTGACTGTGTTTGTTCAATTTTCTTTGAAAAAAAGACAAGACAAAATAAAACTAATGCGAAAGGTTGCAAGGGATGGTTTGGACAAAAGTCACAGTATCATCATACATGTATTATTACACTGTAAATTTATCTCCAAGCGTAATAATTAGAGATGCTGTCATCGTTAAATGGGCTGTCATGCAGTAGACTAAACGCGTTACGTTTACGCACACGTCCCCTGATCTTTTTTTTTTTGTCTTTTCTAAAATCTTCATTTTAGCTCATTACAAGGATTACACGTTCGGTCATAGTAGCTCATTGTAGGTCATTGTAGATCATTGTAGGTCATTGTAGGTCATTGTAGATCATTGTAGATCATTGTAGGTCATTGTAGGTCATTGTAGATCATTGTAGGTCATTGTAGGTCATTGTAGATCATTGTAGATCATTGTAGGTCATTGTAGGTCATTGTAGATCATTGTAGATCATTGTAGATCATTGTAGGTCATTGTAGGTCATTGTAGATCATTGTAGGTCATTGTAGCTCATAGTAGCTCATTGTAGATCATTGTAGGTCATTGTAGATCATTGTAGGACATTGTAGGTCATTCCTTGTTTTAGTAACTACGACAAATAAACACAGTTTAAAATGTTGAAGGCCAAACTCAACATCCAAGTCCTCAAGGTTGACAGGCGTCTTATAACTTTATTTAAACCTTTTTTCTGAGGAAAAGAGATTTAGAGCTCCGAATTGTGCATTTTCTTTAAAAATCTTGGTCGGTATAGCAAGTTACGGACCGTAAATTGACCAATCGCATGGCGAAAACACATTCATGTGAATTTTGAGGGAAAGGGTAAGTAATTTTGGAGAAAAAGAATCTGCAAACAGTTCAAGGGTTAAACAAATTTTACATCGAGTTAATATTCTTAATGTACAAATAGCAGTCATCTTCGATTACAGAATTCGAAGATTAGGCCTGGAAAATAAATTCTTCCTAAACAAAATAACCCAGTCGCCCACCTAAGACCACTTTTATTTTACGCTTTGGCTATATGACCGGTAACCGGTCAAGGTTTTTAAAACACTAAATGGTCGGCAGTCCTATATTATCAGTAAATTTCATATAATCGAAAGATTCTAGCTAATCTAAACTATCATATGTCGATTAAGACAAGTCTACTGTTTGGTTTACGCTGGGCTTCGAAGACGAAACAGTGACGAAACCGTGTTTTGTGACACTTACAACTTTTTTAAAACACTAAATGGCCGGCATATTCTCAGTAAATTTCACAAATCGAAAAAATTCAGCCGTTCTGAACTATCGTAAGTCGTGATCCTGATCAAAGTCTCCGTAGAGACTTTGATCAGGATCACGACTTATGATAGTTCAGAACGGCTGAATTTTTTCGATTTGTGAAATTTACTGAGAATATGGGACTGCCGGCCATTTAGTGTTTTTGAAAACCTTGACCGGCAGTCGAGCTGAAAAAAGTTGTGTCACAAAACACGGTTTCGTCTTCTGAGCTCAGCGTAAACCAAACGCTAGACTTGAGATCTATAAAGCATTTCAGGATCGCTTGACCTGTCTTAATCGACATATGATAGTTTAGATTAGTTAGAAACTTTCGATTTTGTGAAATTTACTGAGAATATAGGACTGCCGGCCATTTAGTGTTTTGAAAACCTTGACCGGTTACCGGCCATATAGCCACAGCGTTTTATTTTTCATACATCACATCTGAGATACACAGTACTATGAGGTGCTGTTTTTTTATACAGATCTCGGACAGATTTTGCTCTTTTTTGCCCTATTTAAACCTATAATTCTGCAGTTTTCCACAATTTTGCAAGACAAATACCGGCTGCACTCATTCAATATTCAGGGCGATCGAAACACGCACTTCCTTTGCACAACAAATTATATTATAAAACGTTTTCATGAAGACTGTTCAGTCAGAACAATCTGCTTCTATGTGGTATGAAGGGAAAAAGTTTCCAAAATCATCTTTACAGCCAGCCGGTTCTCACTTTTGATAAGCGCGAGCTGCTGAGTGTGAATGATTAAACATTAATAGGGTTACGCTCCAACATAATGTTGTAATGTTATGTTTATTTCTTATTTACGGTTCTTTAAAAGCGTTTGCGATGTTCACGTACGGCCAAAAACAAACGGCACAGCCATTAAAATTGCGAAAGAGACTACTAACAATCAATAAAAGAAATATAATTCAGTGAAACATTTACAGAGACAACAATTTTCGTTGACGAAAGACAAGCACTGGGAGTAAAGTGTCTCTGAAAATCCTGAGTTTTAAAGCATATAAGTTTAAAATCTTGCAGATTTAAGCTTATGTTTTCAGGGGCACCCAACGAGCATATGGTTCAAAACCACTTAAACATAGCATTGTTGAACGTATTTTAGTATTTAAACGGTAGATATAAGCATATTTTTATCCCCTAAAAATATTTCATCTGTTCGGATTTCCTAGCCGAAAGTCTAGTAATCCGAAAATTATAGGGATCAAAACTTACCTTTTGGAAAATTTCAGCCAGAAAAAAGGCTCTCGAAAATTCTAGGTGACCTTTTTAGGGTAAAAATCCGTTAAGAATGGGCAATTATACCATTTTTGGGGGGTTCGAAAATCCAAGGAGAGACGGGCAAGCACGAAATTTTACAACAAATGTTGCGAAAATTCTAGATCTCAAATCGTCTTCCGAACAGATTTTTTCCAAAAATTGTCGTTGGGTGCCGCTGTGTTTTAACCCGGCTTTCCTGTATTTGTTTTTTTTTAAAGATGAACGCGAGGCAAGAAAATCACTCAAAGCTTTCAAAATTAAAACTAAATATTCTTCGGGACGTTTTCTTTCTATTTGCGGTCAGAAAATGTCTAAAGGCTTTTTAAAGTTCTGTGATCTTATATCAAAGCTGGTCAAATCATACAAACGTGCATAAACCCACATAAACTACGCTCGACTTCATGAAATAATAATTAAAAAAAACATCAAATACCAGTCGAGATGCAAGCCCTGAATGCTATCAAATAAGGCTAGGATCGCTTGAGACTTTTCAACTCTCTTACGCTTCAAGCAAGGTGAAGCAAGCTCATTTTTGAAAACGATGCTTCCGAAATCGGATTTCCGAAAAGCGGCCCCTTTTTGAACGAAAAACCCAATAAACTAACCAGCAAAAACAACAAAATATTCTTGGTAACAACTGTGTTTCACAAGGGCGGATCCAGGATTTTTTTTAGGAGGGGGTGCACTCGTCTCTTGCTCTACTTTAACACCAATAAACCACATAGTTTTTTTTTTCAGAATACCAGTTGTATCAGAAAACCGCAGGTCATCTCGGGGGGGGGGTGTGCGCACCCCCTGCACCCTCCCCCTAGATCCGCCCCCGTTTCATTTTGTATATCCAGTCGAAAAAGGCAGTGAAAAAAACACCACAGTATGACACAAAACTCTGTCAGCTTCAGCAATCAGTAAACAAGTTTGCAGATGCTGTATAAATTTACCGCAAGAACTCACCTGTCAGAGCATAGTATATATAGATTTAGCTAGAGCTAAAAGCGAAGCTCTGGTTAGTGTAATATATATAGTTTACTCATATAAAATAGAAAATCGTGTAATGCTAAAACAACTTTGCACGTGCGGCACACTTTTCTTGTACATTTCTTTACCGTTGTTTTGCACGACTACAAGGAGAAACTCCATTAACTTCCTAGTTACACGTTTTAGGTGTTCCTGTTCACTTTTTTTTTTCGCTGCCGCTTATTTTCACCTTGGTGGCCGGTTGGTGGCCAACTTTTTTCTTCCAACGAAATTGGTCTCCTTTGTTTTTTTCTCTCTCGCTCTAGCTCTTTCTCTTTTATGCAAGTCAATGTAGACATTAAAATTAAGTGGAAAGAAAGAATCGGCTTTGTTGTTGTTTTTATCTCTAAAAGTCCTGGAAGCTATGCGATTTACCGCCGAAACGCACGGGTGCTTGAAATGCAAAATTTCATGCCGGCTTACATGAAGGGGTGGAGGTACGTCATTTCCTCATAGCCAAAATTTCTTGGATGCAGAGATTACCAAATTTTTTTACCCATGGTGCTCCGCTGCGGGCGCTTCGATGCGAGCAGCGATATAAGAGAAGTATGATTCTTCACATCATACTCAGGCTCATTCAATAATTGTTGAGCTATTTTGAAAAAATAGCTCATATGTCAGTGGTGTGAGCGTATGTATCTTTGTGGCTTTGTATCTTTGTAACTTTGTATCTTTGTATCTTTGTATCTTTGTAACTTTGTATGTTCGGATGTTTGTTGCAAGAGCCAATAAGGTTGAAGGTACTATTAGTTGATGCTTAGGAACCAATGAGATCTTAGCATCTACTTAAACATGACATTGGTAAAGGTCGAACAAGGGCACTTTGAGACCGCCAGCTTTATTCTTCACAATTTTTCGTCTTTTATTACGGCTAGAGGTGTTTGGAAGAATTACATTAAATATCTTCATGATTCAAACGCTGTGTACAATGATGCAGCTGTTTAAGGGTTCATATTTTAGAATGGATGCTGCTTCAAGGCATTTCTGACCTAATTCGGCTATCAGTACAACGCACGTCAGTATGAGTTCTGTTTCACCTGCTACAACTGGGTAGAGTATAAAAGATCATATATTTTCAAAGCTCTTCCAATGAAGCAATAATTGATATTTAGATATAGACTTTAATTCGAAAGTATGCGCCCTATAAAATGTGGTTTTAGAAGTTTAAAAAGGCAGCTTATTTTTGTGAAAGCTGTACCGAGTATTGTTAATCCTGTAAACAAGCTTTAACAGACCTTTTTCGTTCTGGCAAAACAAAAAAAAAGAATAATAAGTGAACAACATGATACATCCTTCCTGCATACTAAGTATTATAGTTTCTGAAACGTATTTTATTTAGTAAAGACGCGTAACTTAACTAAAAACAGTAGCGTTAGGGAATAAAATTGGAAGAAGCTAGTTGACACAATAATTAGATACTGTTGTATTGAGTGGAGTAACATGATACAAGTAGAAATATATTTCGGCAGTTTGATAATTGTCTTGGAAGTTAATAAATGTTAGGCTATCAACCTTGACGTTGCATGAAACATAATTTAATTGCAGATGTTGTAATAAAGCCGAGGTGATTTCTGAAAATCGCTTGAGAAAATTTTGTAGTGAAACAGTTTGCCTTTTTTTTTACGTACGAATTGTAAAA